GAACTGATTTTCCCCTGTTTTGATCAAACATTTCATTCAGCTCAATACAGGTGCATTTAGAATACAAAATGAATAAATCAGTGGACTTGAACGTATTTATCCAATTACCATAAACGACTAAAAAAAAATCGTCAAAGCGAATAAATAAATAATGAATGGGAAAAAATTTCGTTTTTAAATGCACAAAACCTAAAAGATTTCGCGACCTTTGGCCAGGCAAATAATTTCCGCTGCTTGAATGTGATACAGACTTGAACTCCAGATGCCCAGGACCTCACAGCCCCATTGGTCCATAACCCCAGATTCCCAGATATCATACCCCCCAAGTAGCCCCTATAACAACCCCGGGCAGACAGGACAGAACAGTTTCCGTTTTCCGTTTCCTGTGCAAATATGCGAGCTGGAATGGCAAAATCCAGGGGCGGATGGCCAAAGGATTGAATAGTGCAAAAATTACCAGAATCGAAGACCCAAATACCTTGGATAATAGGTTGTGTGACAAATGTATTAAATGAAAACAAGTTGCAATAAGATTTGATGTAGGTTTATTAGAAAATTTGTCTTCTATTTACGTTTGCTTGGCTTTCTTTGAGACTGTTTCAAATTTGTGGCATATTATATATTATATTTAATGTAAGCCATAAAAAATGAATCTCCCCCTTGAGTGGAAAGGGTATCAAAACATGTGGGCGAGTTCTCGCATTGGTGGCCTAAGTTGACATGATTTGAGCCGGGTTCAGTTACGGTTGCGAGCCGGTCTGGTCTAGGCGGCTTATTGGTCAAAGCTTGTCGATGATGTCGATGGTGTTCATGTGGAATGTCCATGTTCGAGGGTTCCCTCTTCGTTTCCTTTTTTTTTCTTTTTTTTTTTACTGTCTGTCTGCGTGGCGGGGGCTTTTTTTTATGTCAGTACAAAGGCTTTCGCAATGTCAGACAGAAGGCCTTCGACTCTTCACGTCCCTCTGCTCAACATTTCGCTTTGCTTTGGGTAAACAATTTAAAAGCGGGAAAACTGTTTTTGGAGTTGCAGAAATCTTTGAGAATTTAGTAAAAGAAAAACCGTGGTCTAACATGATTTTGTGCTTAGATATTTTATCATAAAACAAAATAAAAGCGCATTTTGATATTTTTATCTAGGGAGTAATCAGAATGCTTATTGTAAGTAAAGATAATCTAATTTTATTTAGAGTAAGAAAAAAATCTTTTTAAAATTTGCTTAGATTTAATATTAATTTTTTCTTAAATTATGTTGTTATACGTGCGTTTTATTACTTATTTATTAAAAAATCCTTGGTAAATCAAAGCAGTTTCTGAAGAGTAAGCCCAGCATCGGTTTGCTTAAGCTCAGTACATTCGGGTCTTTCCCCATTTTCCCCAAGCGCTTTCCCCGCCCTTTTTCCCGTCTCGTTTTTCCCCTCTTTTATGGCCTCGTAAACAGCACATAACACTAAAGAGCCTGCTAAAGGGCGGGTTCTTGGGTTCTAGGCCAGAGAAGCAAAAACATACACAAAATATAGAAAAATAAGAAGTTGTCTTCCGGGAAACTGGGCGTAATGTGCGTGTGTGAATAAAATAGTTTTCGAGTATCCATTTGCATATTTAAAAGGAGGAACTAAATGCTTTCCCCAGCCCCACAACTCCGTTGCTAATGGCTTTCCTTTCGACAATTTTGCCTGGCCACTTGTCGCACATGCCAAGTATAGTATTTAATTTTTCATGCGCTTTCATTAAATAATAGAGAAAAGCTGCTGCTGCAAACAGCTGTTGTCCTGCCCCAAACAAAAAAAGAAGGTCAAAATTCCCCCGCCATCAACAAGTTTTTGGTCCCTTTGGTGGCCAAGTTTATTTAGGAAAATTCCTTTATACGAAATCTAAAGAGGGAAAGCTTTCGGTTTCGATTGGGGAATTCCAAAGCCAATGCCACACACCACACCCTGATTTCCATATATAAATATATTTATCTTGAATTGCGTTTTTAATTAAAGCGTCATCTCTGCCAGATCCTTGTTATATATATATATATATATACTATATATATATATATATATATATATATATATATATAACGGGCATCCGTATCAGACAGCTTAGGAATATTTTTAACTTTTTATATTAGTATCCATTCAAAGAATGCCAGCTGAGTTCTTTCGCCTTTGGTTATAAATTTTCCTTTTATTCCTATTTATATTCCGTAATCCCCGGTGAAAGGTTTTGACCCTGGCATTGGATTTGGTGTGGTTTTTTTTTGCTGAATGGTTACACTTCGGCAGGGGAAAGTGTGGAAATGCTGGAGAGGTGCCATCTAAATACTTTCACAACATATTTCTGCGGCAAAATAGTGACAGATTGAACACTAAAAAAAACATGTATATCATACTAATCTTAATTCTTTTTCGCTTTGATTTTTATTTTGAATATTGGATATGGATTTCATTTAATTAATAATATTTAAAATTTTCACATTTTCTTTGACTATTTTCAGAATTAACTTTAATATCTTTTAATGTATTTGAAATTAAGCTCAAAGCACCAATTTTTAATTGAGTATTTTTCACATCAATTCAAATATTTTATTATTAAATTAAACTGCATAATTGGGCATTGTATTAAATATTATGATTTCATTTTTAAATTAAATATTTTTATTTAAATATGCAGATATTATTTGTACTAGTAAGAGTTCAATAATATAATGAACACTTAAGTCTATAAAAACCAGTTTGTTTAAATAGTAAGAGCATTTAGAATTGTTATAATAATCAAAAAGAAGAGAGTGAGTGGAATTACTCTAAAATTTAATTTTAATCATTAGTATAGTCTGACTTTTGAAATAATTAAGATGTTTATATAACATACAATATTATAATTTGGTTTATAATTTTCCAAAGACTTATATAATCTTATAGTTTTTCTCAAAGTGTAGCTAAGGAAAAACGGATTTTAAAAGTGATTTCTAATGCTTCACCTGTTTTGGCAGAAATGAGATTTAGAGGAAATTAAAACGCGAGTAAGCGCAATTTTAGCTGTAGTGTTGACATTAATGGGGCAATGTTTTTGTGGCAAGAAGCTCGTTGAACTGCCCAAATATTTGGACAGGGTAAAAATAAAAGCAGAAAACTACGTTGTAAAGTTGCTAGAAAAATGTGGGCCAAAACTGTTCGTAGTATTGCTTGCGTTGAAAAACATGGCGGAAGGTCACAATTTCATATGCAATTTCAGTGTTGATTGCCATTTTTGCGGTGGTCCAAATGTAATTTGTTTTGATATTTCTATTTGACTGGATTACTGACATTTGAACCCACTGAAAAATCTGGCTACAACGAAAACGAAGCATTTTAGTTTAAATACTTGCTACATATATACAGATTAAAGAATATTTATTATTCAAAAGAATTTAATTTAATTTTTGTAAAATGCAATGCAAAAACCAAAAAATCAGTTTTATGCTTTCTGAAATTGTTTGACCATAAATATTTTGTAATGCTCATTTGACTTAATGCTAAAATATTTAAATAAATTAAAGGAAATTGAATAGCTAGTTTAAAACAACTTTAACACCCAGGTGCCAGCCCTTGTCTGACCTTGTCTTCGAATAACGAATAAGGCTGAAGGGTCATCGCCATTGGGGCATGATTAAATGGAAATATCTGCTTACAGTGTCCCCGGATTTCAGAGGAGCGGATCCAGGTTGCCGGCCATTGTCATTTATTGTGATTATATGGTGCACATGGTGTCCTTGTCTAATGATGCCACCATGTGGCGTCTGTCAGCCCCTCTCTTTCTGCCGACCTCCTTCCATCTCTTTCTCCCTCGCACTGTTGCAAGTGCCAGGTGTCAATGGCCCCCTTGCAAGCCAGATTTTCCCATATTCCCCCAGATGTATATTTAAGTTCAATGGGATTTAGAGGGATTAAAGTATGCGTTTTGTACCCTTGTGAAGTATAGAAAATTGGGCTTAACTGTAGTTTCAGATTTTTTAATATTATTTGAAAATTTTGTGAAATTTTTATATCACAATTTTTTTGCGAAAATTAAAAAATTTTAGCTGTGAATCTCATTTGATTGGAAACTTCATGAGGAATTGAATGTTGAACGGAATTCCAACTTTTGACCATTAAGTCGCAGGGTTTTCATACATAAACCGATTTATAATGGTTTTTTGGGTTTCTTGGAGATATGTAAAAACATAAACATTTCTAAATAGTTTTTTTGTTGTAACTTGGCCAAAATAAAAAGCATAGCCATAAGAGTTACTGTTCTGTGCAGCTGGCAAAATATATTATACATTTTCTATTGATTTAAATTTAAATGGATTTAAACAAATTTTTAAAAAGGCTCTTTTTTGAAAAAAATGACAAATTGAAAAATTTAATCTGTGAATGCCAGTCGATTGAAAATTTTCTATCGAGTTCATTCAAATTGATATTGGAAATTTCGGGCATTACATATCAAGAATTAGATCCAAAAACGTTTTGACACAAAAAAAAAGGTTCTCTAGAGTTATTTCGTATAAGAATTGGCCCAATTAATAAATTAAAAATGATTTTTAGTATATTTAGTAACTAGGACATCAGATGTTCGGGTTCTAAGCTTGTGTTTCCAGTTTATTTTTATTTTTATGATATTTCTTCATGGGGCCCCAAGGCCGCTTTATTAGCCCTCTCTTTCCGCACCTGTCTACCCATCCCTCTCTCTCACTCTCTGTCTATCTCTTTCTCTAACGCTGCTCCCTTCTGCACAGTTAGGGACATTAATTTAATCGGCATGTCATTTCATGTTCAAAGTTTTACACCTTTGCGACAGGAGGCAGGATAACCATAAAATGCCTCTTGGCTTTGTTCTCATCTCGGGCTGGATTTTCCCCTTTTTCCCGCCACCGCTTTTCCTCGGCCATTTTCTCAGCTTAATTCCCTTGTTTTGGCCGTGTTAAATGAGCTGGGACATCAATGGAATGCAAGGAACTTTCCCAGGAAAAAATGAGTTTAGTTTCGCTCACTCACCTTCTAATTCGAGATCCGTGATTCCAGAACTCCAAATGAGAATCGTATCTGTAATAAAAAATTGAACATTATATAAAATTATAGTGTAAGCTATTTGTTTATGCATAAACGCGGCCAGTCAAACATTTACCAGATCGCTGGTAATTGCGCATAGCATTTGCAAATAATAATTGATGGTGGAAAACAAGTGTGGAAAACCATCAAACGGGTGAAAAATCGAGTCTGATAAATGAATAATGGACCTGGCTTAAATAACAAATCGAGTGTGGGCAAACATGTGGATATAGATCAACTAAATGAACTTCGGAAATTGAGGTGCCAAGCAATAATTTAGTCATAAATAACTAAACTTAAAATCCTTTTGAGCTATTTTCTTTTAAAATATTTATTAGTGCTTTTAAAGCAATTAAACCACACTCGCTTATATATTGATGCAAATAGTTGTTTTAATTACCAAATTTAATCATGGTTGTTGATTAAGTGTGGCAAACATATAACTTAACAAAGTGGACGCATAAAGTTATTCGAACTCAACCTTCTTCCAAATAAAAACAAATTGCAATTAAGCAGCGAATTTAATATTATTTTTTTATGATTCTCGGCATAAAAATTCGGATTTTCATTTTTGGTTTATCGCATTCTCAGTCTCTTTCTTGGGGGCATATTATCGTTAACATTTTGCTTGGCTTTGTTTGGTCGTTGCTTGATTTTTATGAGTTTTATTATCCAAAAGCACATGGCTGGCAATGTTGCTGTTGTTTCTGCCCGCCCATTGTTTGTTATTTATTTTGTTGTTGCTGTTGGCAGCTTGTTGTTTATGTTGTTTTCGCTTATGTTTTTATTGACAGTTATGACAGCCATTTGTGCTCGTTGTCATTGCAGTTTTCTTTGAAATTGGCCGGGCGAAAAGTGCGCAGAAAATCATTTCCACTTTCTTGGCTACAATGAAAACGAACCATATTCTTGTCAGCCCCCTTTTAATGACTGAAAATGAAACGATAAAGCTATAGCTTGTTGTTATTGAGAAAACGTAGTTACTTTGTTTTTAAATTAAACCCCTCCTACTCTATACATATTCTTAAGAAACTCTTGCATTATCTTCGAGCGGAAAATTTGCAGAAATCTAAATAGAAAATCACCACAGCTCATCAGTAATTCTAGTTTCAAGCAGTCCATTTTCTCTCTAGTGTTTGTGTGCCATTAAAATGCGCCCACGAAAGTTCCAAATAATAATTTGAAATGCGCACAAGCGTTTGGTGTGTGTGGGCTCAAAAGTCGGCAAGCTGGAATCAAGCGAAACTAATCCACAATTAACTGATGTTCCTGCTCTTGTGGGTTTTATATATGTCTGCATACATAGTTTCCACATGTACGCCAACAGTCTTGGTCGCGTTTTGTGGCTATGGCAACGAGTGTGCAGCTCATTAGAATAGAAATAGAGCGTAGAATGTTGCAACCGCAAAACTCCATCAACAGATGCAAATGAAAGGCCAATTTGCTGCGTGTTCAGACAGTTATGGTCAAAATGCTAGCAAAATTTTACGACTCAAAAAAAAAATAAATAGCTGAATTCAAATTTTTGTACTTAACATTATAATATAATATTAAATACAATAAAAATCGTTTATATTCAAATGCATTTTTTAATAGGGAATAATTTTTAAATTGATTACAAAATATTTGTATTCATTACGTTTTTTTTCTAATTTTTAAATATATATAACAATATCAAATACAAATAGTATGTACTTTTTCCAGTATTCTGCACTTTAATCTTTTTTATAAATTAAATTTTTTCGGATTTACTTTTTGTTTTTGTTATTTTTTCTTTAATTTTTAGTCAGTATTACGAGTAACATAATGTTCACAAAATTTTAAAATAGCTCCTATCGTTTTGTGAATACAACTGTATGTGGTTGCTGGGGTGCTAGTGCGTTTGGTGGTGGCCGAGACTGGTAAGTAGTTACTTCAATTAGGCGGCAAATTCATAATGTACAATCTCGGGCCTGGCAAAAGCCACTCAAACAAAGCGAAAGGAAACGAAACGCAATGGGAAAAGTTGCCTTGGCCAAATATGCGCAGAATGGGCTAAAAACATGCGTGTTTCGGCCATGTCCGTCGAATGACTTGCACACGTCGTCCTGCGAATTATCCCATATCCCCATATCCCATATCCTGGCAGGACCCCCTCATGATTAGAATAAAATGTGGCAGCTGTGAGATATGAGTGCACGTACAAGTAGAGTCCGAGCGAGCAGGACAATAATGAAGGCCCGAGGATAAAGTGCAGGGGCGTGGCAGCTGCTACACACACGACTTTACACTGGCACCAAAATTAAAATAAATTATAAGAGCTAGCCTTAAAAAAAGCCATCAAGTTAAACATCTCTAAAGTAAAGAACTTTCTCAGAACTTGTTGTTTTAAAGTCGAATTACGATTGCTTCAGCTTAGACTTTACATCCAACAAAAAAAAATTGTCATAGAAACTAAACTATTGTTACACGAATTTTAAGCTTTGGGTATGATAAATGTCTCAATAAGATGAGTATTTATTTAATTCCACGAAAGTATCAAAATAATAAATAAATAAATAAACCACGTAAGTGGTTTAAAACTAAAAAAGAATTAAATTTATTTTCCTGTGTAGCTCATGGATACTAAAGTTTTTATGCCAGTCACCGTCACCCCGACCTCAATTTTTCGCCCCTGACGCTCTAATATTATTAAAATTGCTCGGTCTTTGTTTGCTCACTTGGAAGTTGGTCCCATTGATACCGGTTTTAGACCCCATCAGCAGCTCTCCTTTTTCGCCCCCTTTGGACTGGGCTATTTTCAGGAAGCTCTCAATATATTTAACAAAATATTTACGCCTGACGAAAAAGTGACAAAATGCAATTGGCAACACAAATTTTGCCCAAGAGTGAAAAGGCCAAATTGGGTCGCACATAAATGGTGAAGGCAAAAATATTGCTTTTAAAGTTAAGTGAAAAGCTTGATCTTTATCGTGAAATTTTTTTAAAGGCCAATACGTTTTTGCTGGGTTTCTATCTAAAAGCTTACTTTACAAGAAATATTTATTTAACTTTCTATATTTCAATCTAGCCTTAAGTTGCGTTTAATGGTTTTCATATACAATTTTCTCCAACTTAAATTCAATTTTCGCTTAAGTACCCGTCAGATTTTATGGGCCCCACCTAATATCGCAAAAGGTAACAAAATATTTCTGTCCATGTCATCAGAAAAACGAGTAGAATCCAGAAAATCAGACCCTTCATCGGCTGTTTCATTATTTTTTATGCTCTCACATTTCGAACAGAGAGTGGAGTCTGTAGTGTAGACTAATCGAATCAGTCGAACGTCTCTATACTATATATATTTGAATAATGAAAGTGACTGCTCTAGCCCATTTCCCATATTTTCCTGATGAGCTGATGGAAATGGCCGAAAAGGGGAATGTGTTCTTGGACCCATGTGTCACAGTGTTGACAACAAAATGTGTCAAAAAATTGTATACCTTTTATGCGAAAAAATTAAACAAAATAGTCAGCACTTCTCATTTTGCTTTGGAAACATTTTTTATGATTTCTGAAAACAATGATTTTTTTTAATTTGTTGGTATAAAATATAAGCTACTTATAATCAATCATGAAAAGACTAAGTATAAACTAAAGTATAAATTAAAATTAAAAATATACTGATTTAAGTATTATTTTGTATATATATAGAAGAAAATATGGGTATGAAATATTAGTTATTATATATTTAAATCAACAATTGCAAAAAAAATAACAATCAAGTAACCATTGTGCCAATATCAATTTAAAATTTTTAAATATAAGTTAAAAGCTTTCTAGGAACTGAAATATTAAAAATAATACTGATTTTGGGAAAATGACAGAAAAGAGCTCTTCAAAGAATCAGATATTTTGGAACATGGATAAATTGGCACCACTGGTCGCATTCGCATTCGCATTCGCATTTCATTTCGATTCGCCTTTTTCGCTCCAAGTGGCACTTGAGCCACTCAAAGTGGGTGCGATTGGGGATGTGTGTGTGGGTAAATGAGTTGGACCTGGGTCCCCAGGGTTATTTTACCCCACACCCCCTAAAACACCACCCTGCAACCAACTGATACATGGAAGTGTGAAAATCCGGGCCAAAGGCAAATGAGCAATCGATTGGGGGAAAAAGGGCTTCAATTGAATATGAATTGACTGTCGGATTAATATCGCTTAAGCACAGTCCCTGCCCTACTTTAATTTGTCGCAACAAACTAAGCGAAAATGGAATGTAAATTGCCCTGACAAAAGGACAATATCTCTATTCTAGTTTAGTTACTTGGCCCGTTTTTATGGCCTCCAATATGCGGACATAACCATAAAATACAAATACCCAAGCCCAAATCCAAACCCAAACCCAAACCCAAACCCAAAACCAAACCCTGCCAATGGCAGAAACAAAGTAGAAAGGAGGGTTTTGATATGTGGAGAGCATACATATGTGCCGCTAATGCCCCGCAAACGATGACGCGGGATAAGAAAAGTCAACAGAAGTTTTCCGCCGGGAGTCGAGTCGTCCGATGACCTCCAAGCCATAAACTTAAGTTTAATGGAAATCGAAAAATGTGCAAACAGCAAAGGCGACAATTCAAACGGTTTTCGTAATAGCAAAGTTATGTTAAAATTTTCACTTAAAAGCTACAGATAAAATTCAGATATCTATAGCTATTTTATAATCGCTAAAAGAGCGTTTAAAAATACAATGATAAAAATTTGTATTATAGTTTAACAAGGATTTGGAATACTTTTTTTTTTTAAATATATAACAAAATATTTATGGATTTATCAAATAACTAGTAAGCATTCATACGGATTATTTGCCATTTGTTAAGTAATCATAACTTAATATATACCTGCAAGTCTGGCATAATTATTTGGCATTAGAATATTTATAGTTCAAGGACTTTTTAACTTTTTTGAGCCCCATATACCCATTGACTATCTGGGCGGGCATAAAGACAAAGGGAGACAAGTCTTAAAAATAGAAA